CCGCTGACCACCGACGTGCTCGTCAAGTATCTCTTAGGTCTCTCCGACCGAGGATGCGGCCCCACGGTCATACCTTCGGTCCGCGGAGCGGTCAAATGGATCTGCAAGCGGATCGGTTTGCCAGATCTCCTCGATCCCCGGATCATGGCCTTGCAGAAGAAGGTGTACGGCGATCGAGGGAAAGAGACTCGGGAAGCAGTTCCTATCCCTCTGGTCTTGGTGGCGGCGCTCGAGAGGTTTGTGAGCGCTCGTTTCAAGTCGAGTCAGTTCCCCATGGCGTTCTTCGCATGGTGGGTGCTCGTGATGATCTACTCGTCCCTCAGGTTCGACGATGCGCTCCACGTCGTGCCTGAGGCGCTCGCCTTGAAAGACGAGGCCCTTTATGGGGTGGTGTGGCAGACTAAGGTCGAGCGGCAGAAGAAGGGGGCGCGATTCGCAGCGGCCAGAGTCTCCGTCTCCGGATCCGATTGGATGGAAGACGGATGGCACGCAGCTTCGTTCGAAATGGACGATCGCGACTACTTCATGAAAGAGCTCGAATCGGCTGAGCGATTCGCCGATCGACCCGCCAGCTACCAACGAAGCATTCTGTGGCTGCGGTATGTGCTCACTACTGCAGCATCAGACGATTTGAAGCGGGGGCATATCGCGCCCGAACGGCTCAAAGAACTCTTGAAGATCGTGCCGGAGATCACCTGGCACTCTTGCCGAGTCACGCTGCTCGCGGCGGCGGTCCAGGCGCAGGAGCCCGACAAAGAGATAGGGCTCCAGGCGAACTGGAAGGATCCGAGCCAGCTGGTCCTGAAGTACGCTCGGAGCCGCAAGGAGATCTCGATCGAGATGGTCAAGCGGCTCACGAAGAGGATAGCCTCTGACTGGAAATCCCCGCCAGAGTTCGAGGCTGACGACACCAACCTGGTCGACTTCGGAGATCTCGCTCTGACCTATGTCACCAAGGCTAGATCAGCCTCTGGGTCCTCTAAGGATCTGAGCCTTAAGTACCATGCCATGTATATAGATGGTTCGGGCACGGAGCGAACGCTCTGTGGCCGGTATATGCGATCACCGAGTGCGAAGACCTCGGCGAGATTCCGCCGAGCACCCAGATGTGCTCGTTGCGTTCCGGTAAGATCTTTACGGAGCCGTGAATACAGTTGCTCGCCGGTCTGATGGTCTTTCGAAGATGAGCCTCTCGCTGACCGAAGCTTTTCTTCCCAGACAGCTCGTTAGGCAGCCATGGTGGATCGCACCGTGTACGCGGACGAGGCGGCGACTCCGAAGCTGAACCTGCGCCAGATCTTCGGGAGACAGGGGCTGGATCCGGCCCTATGCAGGCTTTCGGCCGACAAGGGTCTCCTTACGGTCGAGATGTTCGCTATGCTAGGGCAAGATCTCACTGCAGCAAAGGCGACGATCCGCCGGTTGTGGCAGGACGACTTGGGCCCGCTTGGGGCGGACGCGGCAGCCCAGGAGCTCTCCGTGATGTCTCTGGCAGCGGTATGGCGAGCTGCTCAAGCTTTGCAAACGCAATACGCCTCTCGGCGGGCTCGCATGGAGGAGGACCCGAACAAGATCCCGGAGCTCTCCCAGGAGGATCACGCGGAGTTTCGCGATCGCTTTGTGAGGGTCCATCCCGACGTCATCCTGATCGACGCCAAGGAGCCACGCAAGAAGTTCGTCGAGCGGCTGTCCCGCGATTTCTTGATCCACGGGATATAGTTCCTTACTATGAGCCGGCCGAGATCAGGACCCGCTCTGACGTCATAGTGGTCAAGTCCGGGTTGTCCCGGAATGCTGAGGACCTATTGTCCATCTCCAAAGCTGATCAGCCCGAGCCGGTCACGGACGTCATGACCCTGTTCAATCGACTGCACGCCTTCTTCATGGCGCTCGAGTACCTCGCGCTGAAGGTCCTCTGAAGTACTTGCAGGAATTGGAGCAGTTCCGCTCGGAATGCCCAGGTTTGCCTTTCCTCATGGCAGCGGACCGAGCTTTTCGGAAGAAGATCTTCCGCCTGCTGTCCGAACAGAGGGCGACGTACATCTCGTTCTCGCAGGCCCTGGTCGAGGTGCTCACCAACCATAAATACTTGTGGAATGACGCTTGCACTTCAGCCACGCTCTCGAAGATGGAACAGAACCGCTTGCAGCTCGCAAACAACCCTGATCAGGTCAAAGAGGATGAGGTTCCTCCTCTCCCCACACTCCGTTCAAGAGGACTCGAGGGGGGAAGAAGAAGAAGCGGCTGCAGACTCCTTCCAAGGACGATCCGCCTAAGAAGATCGTCAAGGAGGATCCCAACAAGAAGCTCAAGCGCGACAACCGGATCCCGGAGAAGGAGTGGAAGCTCATCGCCGATGCGGCCAAGAAGGTCCAGGGCGCTCGCCGGTGCCACTACTTCAACTCCTCGCTCGGGTGCGTCTCCGGGGACAGCTGTCGGTTCAAGCACCTGTGCATGGTCTGTGGGGAGCCGCATGCCATGATCGGTAACCACTGATCGGCCCCCACCGAAGCTGAATGTGATCCTCACCTCACTCTCTCTGGCGCGCGAGGGGGCTGTGATCTGGAGTCCCGCGCGCAAGCTCTCCTGCAAAAGAAGGCTCCCCTGCTACGCGAAGAAATCCTCGAGATGACGATGGAGCTCCCTGTTCAGGGTCAGCACAAGGCTGCCGACGAACGGGGTGGAGCTTTCTTCGCAGGAGCCTATCGCCATGGAGGCATCACGAGACTGCGATCGTCTTGCCATTCTTGGCCCTGGGCGATCAAGGCGATCACCAAGTACATCGCCCAGCAGGCTCCTGAGGCGCTCTTCACGTCGTTCGCTGTCCTCTACGATCAAGAGGCGGAACCTCACCGTGACTCGGGCAACGAACCGATCCCGAATATCGTCTTCAAGCTCGGATCGTTCGAAGGAGGCGGGCTCTGGATCGAGGACCCGCTCGGGCCCGACGTGAGAGAGATCGAGGGACGCTCGATCCCTGGCTTCAACACCGACTTCGTCGACAACCAGATCCTCTTCAATGCTAAAGAAGCTCTGCCTGCAACCTTGCCCTGGAAAGGAACTCGGGTGGTCCTCGCGGTGTACTCAGTGCAAGGGGTCGATCGAGTCCCGTCCGATGAGTTCGAGCAGCTCCTGCAGCTCGGCTTCAAGCCGGCTCCGGTGCACACAGGTGATCACGCTGATCCGTCCTGGCAGGCTCTCACGTTTGCGCTCGAAACCCCGGACTCCGATCGAAAACGGCCCCACGGTGCCCCGGTCAAAGCCAAGGAGCATCGCCAACGATCGGCTGGCAAGAAGGCAGTCGCCGCGGGTTACCAGATGAAGAAGTCTGTGGTGGCTCCGCTGATCGGCACTGAAATGCACCCGGGCGAAGCGATCGCTTTCGCTTTAGAAGCCACACACCCGTTCACACAGGATGCGGATATCGACCAAGATCTTCTGGCGGTCCTTGAACAGATTGTCCGTGATCCTGCTCAAGTTCGCGATCGTCGGGCTTCTCTTCTGCAACATTGGGAACAGCGAGCTCATGATTTGCTGCCGTCCTCTGATACCTTGCTCAAGCAGATACCAGATAAGCATTTGCGCCGTCTTCTCCGCGGCGCCCCCGACGATCGTCCACTGGAGATGGGTCAGTTCTTCCACGTCGCCCTTTGGCGAGAGCTCATGGATGCGGCCAAATGCAGCGACGTCGACCTGGTGGATCAGATCATGGCTGGCATGCCGATCGTCGGCGATATCGCCTCTTCGCACAGATGGAAACCTGACCGCAAACCGCATGCGGAACACCTCTCGGTTGATGCCCTTCGCTCGAGGGCCTGGGAATTTCGATCGAAGGTGTTAAGTGCGATCCGGAGATCTCCGGTTACCGAGCACTCTCCTAAGGTCTGGGAAGGGACCATGGAAGATGTTCGAGAAGGGTCGGCGATCGGTCCCTTCTTCGACGAAGCCGAAGTCTCGGAGTTTGTGGGCGATGATCACTGGATCCCTACTCAGCGCGTCGAAGTGGTCCAAAAGAACAAAGTCAGGGGCGTCGATAGTGCTACTTTATGGGATCAACATGGCGACGATCGTCACCGAGAAACTCGAACTCCCCTCGACGGACGCGAACGTGGCGGTGATCAAGTGGCTGCGTTCGCGGCTACCGAAGTCTCCGCTACGTGGTTGGGTTCTGGACGAGCGGAGGGCCTATCGGCAAGTACCGATCTCCCCGGCCCATCGCAAGCGGAGTGTGGTCGCTCTGAAGGATCCGGCCACGGGAAAGGTGGCTTTCTTTGTGATGGTCGGGCACTCCTTCGGCTTGGTCTCGGCCGTATATAATTACAACCGCCGCTCGGCTGCGATTACCGACATTCTAAGGCGCGTGTTCATCGTGGCTGGCTTCAACTTCTACGACGACAAGTACGGCTTCGAGCCGGAGGCCACGGCAGATAGTGCATTCGCGCTGGCCGAAAAGGTCCACTGAAAGAACTTTCCCTGCATCCGGGTGCCCGTTAACATCCGGGTGCCTGGTCTTGTTGGTTTGAGACGGGTACTCTGTTTAATGATGACTTTGCCTGAATCCCAGCTGGGTGTTGCCAGCGTTGCCTTCAAGGTGACTGAGTGTGTTACCACTCAGGGACTAAATATTCATTCTGAGATCTGCCGAACCAAGACGACTGGGGCTCTGTGAGTCGTGCAAGGAAAAAAATTAAAAAAAACCCTGATCCCTTATTATAAAGTAATACCTGCCCTAAACCACGGCTCAACGCCAAGTGTTTGCTTTCGCCAACTGAAAACACCTTAACCCTAAGGACCCTAAAGCTTTTGACTTCATGATGGCCCGTGATGCTGATCTGATCGGTGGTGGTCCTATTCTACCTTACAGTAATACCTGCCCTAAACCACGGCTCAACGCCAAGTGTTTGCTTTCGCCAACTGAAAACACCTTAACCCTAAGGACCCTTATACTTGCTTGCCGTGACTTTCGGCCGAAATTTTGCAGCAGCCATTTTCCTGCGCTGATGGCGGACGGTATGCCGGAGCTTTTAATTTTCCAGTTCCTGAAACTGGAAAGACGCGAGCGCTTGCGTCAAATCGACCAGCTTCTGCCGGAGACGCTGGCGGCCCTCCTGCACGATCTGAGCAGGGTCCAGGTGGAGCGATTCGCCATTCAGCACATGCGGGCCGCGGCCTCAGTTTGTTTTGGGTTGTCGCCGCAGCTCACAGCCATGCTTGTGAGGAATTGGGAGGCTTGCAAGGCATTGTGCACAGATGCCGTATGGCCGACAATGCTCCTTCTGGATGCCGTCAGGGCTGCCCGAAAAAACGAAGCAGTCCCAAGTGCCCTGCGAGTGAGTGCCCTGTGCGAGTGTTGTGCAAGTGACTACTTTCTGCGCGCCCAGGTCCTTCCGAGAACTTCCAGGCTCCCTGCGAGTGCCCTGTGAGTGCCCTGTGAATGTTGTGCTCGAACAGCATGTGGACCAGCCGGGCACAAGCTGTTTTTTGCAAGACCCCTCCTGCCTCCGCGATTCGCCATGATTTTGGGTCAGCGGTTCTGGCGTGGACTGGAAGAGGCCCAGGACGTGGGAGTGAGGGCATGCCACTCGTGGCAAATGGACAGCACGAGCCAAACAGCATGGCACCATCGCTACCATCAGTGGTATGACAACCCCACCTTGGAAAGCGACCGAGCTAACTACTGCTTTCCTGTCGGCAACTGGTACCTCACGCTGACCCTGCACCTAACTTGTGGACCATGGGCGCGCATGCAAGGGTACGGGAAGCCACTTGGCCCGGAAAATAAAATCCTGTTTCCTGAGCGTTAGCAAGGGATGATTCTTCGGGTGGTTCTTTGCCGCCCAGGGACGTGAGCGTCAGCGGCGATGCTTTCGAAGGGCTGCTGGCGTTCTTGTCGCTGTCCGAGACCGAGACCCGCTCGTCGGAGGTGGGCGAGGAGAGGTCTTCCACCTTCAAGTTACTGTGGGGGCTCCACCTCGCGATTTACGATGCCATGGAGGAGCTCAAAACCAGAGACCCATTTGCGTGGCAAGCTTCCTCGAGCAAGATGAGCATCGATGAGTTTCGCATGCTGATGTGGAACCACGGTCTAGCTTGAGGAGCGGCCTTTGTACAGAGGTCTGCACTCGGGGCCTATAGTCGTACCTTAAAGACATGACAAATTGCACTTAGCTTAGCTATATGGTCCTTCGTGCTACCTGGCCGAATTGGCTCCTTCTAGTGAGCCTGGAATCCCGGGCTGGCACGCTTGCATACGCAATCGCCAGCTGGTGGCCTGAATGCGGCTGAATTGTACAAAAACCGGTGACAGCTGCTCCAAGCGAAATCAGCCTCGATAACATCTTGCGAGGTTTGCGTTGCTGGTTGCGTTGCGGGCTCAAGTTGTGTGGGCTCATTCAGTGAAACAATTTGCAGGGTGTGAGGCCTTTCGTCGGAGAGTGAATCGCAGGCATGTCAGCCGGCTCTTCTCTGGCTTTCCGGTCAGTCCGAACTTAGACTGGCAGTCCATAGCAGACTGAGACTGAAGCTGACACCATTATGTGCGTTTTAATCATATCAATAATGAATAATAATAATACTAGACCGACAGCCAGTCTCAGAGTCAAGCTGACGATGCCGTCCTTTGCGGTGCTGGATCAGCTGAGCGAGGATGAGGAGGAACAGCCTGGAGCTCAACACAGGGAGCTCGGTTAAAATCATGCGCTCAGCCTTGGACCTATCATGCTCAGGGGTCTGAAGAATGATATTTCGAAGCCAGCTACCAGGCCTCGTTCTATTTATCCAAACAACCCCAGCCCTGTCGCAGCGCTTGAATCAGGACTACGAAGAAGCCCTCCGTGAGCCCAGGTACCAGGCCTCGTTCTCAGTAAAGCAATCCAAACAACCCCAGCCCTGTCGCAGCGCTCTACTCAGGACTACGAAGAAGCCATCCGTGAGCCCAGGTACCAGGCCTCGTTCTCAGTAGCAGGTCCAAGCAACCCCAGCCTTGTCGCAGCGCCTGAATCAGGAGACTGAGTATGAAGATGCCATCCACGAGCCCAGGTAGCAGGCCTCGTTCGCAGTTTCAAAAAACTCCAGTCCCGTCGCAGCGCCTGAATCAGGAGTATGAAGAAGATGCCATCCGCGAGCCCAGGTAGCAGGCCTCGTTCTCAGTTTCAAATAACCCCAGTCCTGTCGCAGCGCCTGAATCAGGAGTATGAAGAAGCCATCCGCTACCCAGAGGACGCCCGCTTGATTTTTTTCAATCGGCCGCTTGATTTTGGAGGCACACGAAACTTCTATTGAATTTGAGGAAATTTCAATCGTTTGGAACTTTTGTTGGTACGTGTTTCTATTGATTTTGAGTGTTGACTTCTATTGATTTTAATCGTGGTCTTTCTATTGATTTTATGGAAAATTTCTATTGATTTTATGGAAAATTTCTATTGATTTTATGGAAAATTTCTATTGATTTTATGGAGATTTTCTATTGATTTTGAGGTGGATGTTTCTATTGATTTCAATGACCAGCTTCAAGCTGAAACGACGGCCCGGGCGGCCCCAATTTGCTAACCAAAGAGAGAGAGAGAGAGAGAGAGAGAGAGAGAGAGAGAGAGAGAGAGAGAGAGAGAGAGAGAGAGAGAGAGAGAGAGAGAGAGAGAGAGAGAGAGAGAGAGAGAGAGAGAGAGAGAGAGAGAGAGAGAGAGAGAGAGAGAGAGAGAGAGAGAGAGAGAGAGAGAGACAGAGAGACAGAGAGACAGAGAGACAGAGAGACAGAGAGACAGAGAGACGGAGGAGACGGAGAGACGGAGGAGACGGAGGAGACACAGAAGAGATGGGATGTGGGCCGGACGGCCCCACGAAGGGAGAAGGCGGGGGAATCATTTTTGGCAGGTTCGTGCATGGCAGCCGTCTTGCAACCAAAGCTTCCAGGGGCCGGACGGCCCTAAGAAGGAAGAAGGGGGGGAATCATGCTTCAAATCTCGTGCATGGCAGCCGTCTTCAAGCCAAGCTGCCAGGAACTTTGGGCTAGGTCAAGATGCAGGGCGATGATGAAATTGTCGTCCAGGCCTATGCCAAGCTGCTTCACGCCAAGGTTCCAGGCAAAGTCGCGAGGTCCTTGGTCGTGATGTGGCGGAGAGGTTACCGAGACCAGCTGGAGATTCTTGGCATGAACACATATACATACATATATATATATATACTTATACATATGCCGTATATAGACTTTGTATTTAATTTTTTACTTATATAGAGCTAAGGGATGTCGACAAGGTAGTGGGCTTCCTTGACTTTTTGGAGTACCTCATGTACAAGATCGAGAATGATATGGACATCGACCCCGAGCGCTGGCCGGAGGCGACGAAGCACATGAAGATGAAGGAGCACGGGTACATCCGGTTGTTGCTCAACGATGCTTCATTGATCGCTCTCCAAGCAAACCCAGGCATGGCAGAACCTAGATGGACACCTCGCCATGCCAGGCCTTGAGCCGAATGACGAAGCCTCAACTACTTTCGGAAGCAGTGCGGGTGGGGGCCAAGGTACACCAGTCCTGGAGCGACCAGGAGTTGCGGGCGAGGATCAGGGAGCACGTCGACGCTACATTTTTTTGAAATTGAGCCGCCCGTGCGCCAGGTCCGAGGATCTGACCAGTGCCAGGCGGCTGGGAGGTGAGCTCCAGGACAAGCCTCAAGTTTTGAGAACATAGGAAAGTGTGGAGGCGGCAGAGATTCTGCCGCTTCCGCGCCGTCCCAGGTTCCAAGATTCAAGGGGTCGTTTGTTAGAAGCGGCTTAATTCAAGTGCTAATCCAGGGCAGGCTACTGCCAGGGTATAATTCAAGCCGAGATCGATCAAGCCCTGCTTGACATGCAAAATTGTCTTGGCGAGAAGAGGACCTGAGCTGAAGTTTTTTTTCATAGTACGCTGCATGCTTCAGGCAGGCCTAGCCAGGTCCTGGGCTTCAAGCTCCAGGCAGGTCTGTCGGGTTTAAGTGCTGCAGGCCGCCAGGCAAGTCCTCAGCTTCTTAGAGCCATGGGCAGCCCCGCAGCTGCTGGCCGCGGCGGCGAACGCAACTTCGCCAAGCCGGAGGTGGACCAGGAGCACTTGCTGGACGTGTTCAAGAAACACGTCAAGCTCCTAGGTGTCCAGGCCGCCTTCAACTTCGACCCCTACGGCAACCTAGCCAAGACGAGTGCTGTCCAGGCCAAAGGGCTTTCAAAGGCGACGGTTTTGCTCAAGAAACTCCAGGAGGTGGAGAGCGGCTTGGCTTTCAAGTACAAGGACTTGAAGGAGTGCTTGGCCAAGGTCAGCAAAGACTACCCGGACCTCATCCACCAGGCCCCGCTGAGCAAGCAAACTGCTTGGGCTGGGGACACGGCCGAGATGCTGCTGACCGTCATGGCTCATGCTCGCCGCTTGTGCAACGACACCAGGTTCAAGGAGGCTTGCAGCAAGGCGACCCAGTTCGAGATCAAGGATCTCGAGGAACTCAGGGCGCTGCTTCTTCCAGAAGTGTCGGCCTCACCAGCCAAGCTCCAGCAGGCGGAGACCCACAACACCAAGCGGCCGAGCACAGGGACGCCAAGCCCTGCGACCAAGCCGCCAAAGCTACGGTCGTTAGCCCCTGCGAGCAGTCCGCTTCGAAAGATTCGGACCAGGGATCTGGAGCTTCCAGACACTCCCAAGACCGCCAAGACGAGTTTGAGCCAGGAAGCCGAAGGCAGTCCCGTGCCAGGCAGCAAGGCTCGAATCAGGAAGTCTTGGGAGGGCGAGGTTTTGAAGAAGCCAGCTGCAGCCGCTAAGCCTGTGAAAAAGGACAGTGACAAGCCGAAGAAGAAGCCGGCCTCTAATCTTAACATTAGAAAATATTTTTGTTGTTCGTAAGCATATATTTCATATTTCTATCTAGGAAGATGTATTTAAGTGAAGCCCTGAATGTTTTCTCCATCATGAGGCCCCCAAGGACAAGGACAAGCCCGAGTTGACGGAGGCTGAAAGGGGCAAGCTGCAGATCATGCACTACCACGACAGTGTCGCATTGAGAGTCGACGGTTCTAGGCAGCTTTTCCAGATCGTGTGCAGGAAGCATGGTCGGGATAAGACCAAGCTTCAGGTTGCCAAGATGAAGAAGAAGCTCGCCGAGGGCGGCTCTTTGGCAGAGGCCTTCAAGGAGAAGGCTAAGTTTTTGGAGTCCTAGTTTCAAGTCTTTTAGTGTTCCAAGCCAGGGCTGGAAGCCCGGTGGCCTCGACTGCATAAGCCAGTATGCATGAGTGAAAAACACATCGACCCTCCAGCTGCATGAGCCTGCAAGTAAAGTTTCAAGGGCTGGACAGCCCTTTTCGGCGGCAAATGCTCCCAAGCGAGATCGATCTTCGGCCGCTGCAGCTCCCAAGCTCAAGAAGCAGCTTTAGGAGTTACTTAGTCAGGCAGCCAAGGAGCTGCCAAGTCAAGCCGGTCCAAGCCATGGCCGGCCAGCAGCCTCGAGGGCGCCCAGGAGGAGCCATTCCCGCGATGGGAAAGGGCCCCCAGCGAAACAGTCAGCCAGGCGGCGCCGGACACCTGCACGCACGTAACAAAGTTTTGCGTTTTTTTTAAGGATTTAACGAAACCGCTGATGTCTATATTTGAAAGCACTCAGACTCAAGCGCCTGGCGAGAGAACTGGAGGGCGCTTTACAGCCAGTACAAGGACGAGGCCGGCCTTGGAGTAACAAGCAAAAGTTTATACATACATTATATATATATATATATATATATCAAAAAATATACATAAAAATATGTACATATATATATATATATATATATATATATATTTGTTTTTTATATGTTTGTGTCCCTTGTTGCGGTCCCTATCTAAGCCCCCATCCCCTAAAACTATATACTTAATGAAAACCCCTGCGGCCAGGGCGAGACCTTCGGCCACTGGCAAAACGATGTGGTGCAACACCTTAGCCTCAAGTTCACACCCAGATGCCCCAGGACCAGTCGATCAGGTTGTTCATTAACCGGGTATTTGAGCAATCAGAAACAATCGAGTCGATCGACGAATGGCTGGAGGTACAGTTGGATGAAATGAGCATGAGCAGGAGCAGCCAGGAGCCCCAGGATCCCCGCTCA